CCTGCTTTTCTCACCCAACCAGATGCACACACTATGACAAGCACTGATCTGGAAAACATTTAAGGAATTTCCTCATTGTGCTCTCTCGTAACAGTTAGGCAGTCGTTTATTAAAAATAAAAGGTATTCAGTGCAAAATGTTGAAAGCTTTTCATAACTTCAACAATATTTTGAGCCAATGACAGACAGCTGAATATATGTGTCTGGCACCTCTCTTCCTGACAATCACACATACCTCATCTCGACACTGTATTTGTATGCTGTCATCCCTGATTTTGTATCTTTGTGGCTCAACATGAGATACATCGTCTGCTGTTTGGAAATACCATAATATGTTACACTGATACAGCTGTCAGAAACCAGCAAACAAAGCAGGTCAAAATATGAACCTCACTGTAAAACTAAGTCTATTATTGTTTTAAATTAAATGTCAGACAGTACATAAATAAAATAAATGCCTACACAAAGGTTCCATTGTCGCTTCTCTATTCTCTGTTGTGATTTTCCTGAGCTAGATCGACTGTCAAATGACAAATCTAATGAATACTGGGCGGACATAACTCGCTGCTTTTGAAATACATGAATGCAAGTCATGAAAAGGAAAGTTATCTCTAATGATTGCTATGTATACTTTTATTCCTCGAGGAGTCTAAACCACTCGTCTAAACAATTAGTTTACTGGCCCCAACGTGCCTATTATACTAAAACAGTGAATTATTTAACAATTTTACAAAAATATATCAGTTATATGTTTTGTAGCATTAAATGGGCTATCATCTCAGCCTGTACCCCTTTAAAGAGGTTGGATTTTTTGTTGGTGCAACTGTGATTTAGTCACAGGGGGCAGAATGTAATATTCTCACAGTGGGTTTATGACTACTTTATGAGAACTACTGTATTCCCTTCGCGTTTATTCTGAAGACAAATCTGACGTTATTTACTTTGTCAGAGCATTTTTCCCCTGCTGCTGGTCACACCAACTGGAGCCATTTCAGCTTGAGACTTTATGGTGGACTCATTACATCATTACAGCAAAGAAAAACTATTATAGGAGAGCTTACTTGACAAACATGATTTATACAAACTGTTTATCACAGTTCTTGGATATCTGAAAATTATAGGATATGTAGACTGTAGTTAGAACAGTTACTGCTGAGTGTTTGCAAAGCTCAGTTATGAATCAATATGAATTAAGGAAATGGTCTGGGTCTATTTAGTTTTAGAAAAATGTGGATTCAATCTGGAGGCATTTGAAGCCTGTACTTCCAATATATTACATCCAAATTACTGCATAACTTGATTTTCAATAAATTTCTAACAACAAGAAGCTATTTATATTTCAAAACTGTTAACTGAGTTTATTCCCATTAAAGTGAATATCATACATGGGCTGAGGAATTCTAAAAGAATAGTAGCAGGCCTGGGAAACGAACTATAGTAAGAAAAAGAAGAGCATGGAGCAAAAGAGGAAACATTTTTAGCAAGCTAGCAATATTAGCTAGTTTCTGATAATCAGTAAGGTAGTGGACCAGATATATATTTTTTATATATCATTTTTTCTTTGTTTTTCAATCTGCAAATGATAAAGGTTTGTCCCATGTCGAAAATCTGACTAATGTTCATCATTTGCAACAGCAGGACAGAGCTGAGCTGTACTGGATAGAGTTTCTGATCTCAAGTTTGATGCAAGTTGAAGTTGCTACAGTGGGCAACGGGTGCAGTTTTCAATGCTGAGTCTATGTTTAATTGGCCTAGACTACATAAAAGAGCGTTTTAAATTATTTATGATGGAGATCAATTTATGCCAAGGTGGCATTTTTGTGAAAACAGTTTTGGAAATTGAGACGTTGAAATAAGGTGTAAATAATGGTACTGGCAACTTTTTTTTGATGCAAGACCTGTTTCTATAAATGAGCTTGAAAATTAGCACAGTACGTACAGAAGCTTATGCCAATCACAGTTTTACACCCTCATGTGAGGTGAGTCATTAGCAGTTTACAGTTCATTTATAGGAGATGCAAAGATAAAAAAAAAGTTAGTTTCACTTCAAAGTAAGCACCACCTCAGTATAATCTTCTTGGAAAACTCGTCGTTTTTCATATCACAGGGATTTCAAAAATACTATGTTTACATTTGACATTAGTTACATTGCTGGCACTTCCATACCCCAATAAAATAAGTGCATGTGAAGAAGAAGTTTTATTTCCTGCACCACCAACATTACAATCAAGCTCAAAGAGCAGGGATCAGAGACATGTTTCTTGCATATTCCTGTGATCTGATGAGACAGTAGACTGCTAGGTGAAGGGAAAAGAGATGATGCAAAAATGGTGCTTTTCAAGCAAGTAGAGACAGATAGGGTATATAAGAGAGGGTGTGTGTGCTATGAACAGGTTTTTTACTTATTAAATCTATCACAGCTGAATGAAGTACTGCATCCTATAGCATCTGTGACTAGTCACAGCTGCTTTGATTTATTAAGTTTATTTTCATTACTTTGCAATCGTGCATGCCGTTGTTGTCTTACAGTGTTCGTCCTACTCAGCTGTGGTGTCATTTAATTTCTGCTATCGAGTTCAGCCGTGTCTCTGCTTGTCATCTTGATTTGTTTTGGTTTCTTTGCACCCTTTGAAATTAGACGCTTAAAAAAAAGAAAAAGGAAAGAAAGAAAAGTGTAAATACTTGCATTAATATGTATTTGTCTTCTTTCTGTGTTTCTATTGTTTTTGCATACACATGCTGTGAACACATCAGTGTGTGAAGCAGTGGTCCCTCTTTGTGCAATCCAGATATCTGACCCCAAAATATGTACTGTTTGCATTCTCATTGTGCCATGCGCTCAAAAACAAAAAGGCTGTTTTAAGTAACATGTAACTCAGTGTGACCAATTCTTCCCTGATCATCCCTGACAGCCATCAAATGACTACCACTACACCAGAAAGACAGAGTCACAACCATATGCCAGTGCCTAGTTTGAGACACCAGGGACAGTAAGAGCCAACCAGCCCTGTGTCACGCTGAGTTAACTGCCGAGTATGTCACGTCCTGTTTTTGCATGCAGGATGATCTGATAAATGTCTTATAATCCCAAAAATCTGAGTAGAAATGTGCGTTCCTTTGCTCCTCTCTATTATAAGATAGAACAGACTTAACTTTAACAAAACTTTATGAATGCAAACATACATTGTCAGGTATATGTATGTAAATATCTCTCTATTTAAAAAAAATGTCCCTGCCTGTGATGTGATCAAGCAGTAACAGTGACAGAAAAAAAACACATTTGTTTACTATTACTTAATACTGTAAACTACTTTTTCACAAAATAATTTCTTCAACTTCATGTCATCCAAATGCTTCATCATATCCATAAGGTAACTGTTTGCTGTACTTCATGCTACAGGATATTCACACAAAGACAAAGATTGACTTAAGGTTGATGCAAATGTGGCTGTATGCACACAAGAAATTCTGACTAATCATTATACATTTTTGTATGTTTGGGACACATTAGAAGATGATTGCAAATGAATGTTGATTACGAATCACAAAACATTACTATGGAGGTATCATAAAGTGATTAATTGAATTAAAAGCAACTGTCCTTTACTCCCTAGACAAAATATATTCAAGCTCTGTATCAATGCTAAATTAACCAGATATTGCAATTTCAGACTGACACGGGCATTACAGGCCATGCATGCATGCAATCTTTACAGGCAATATGAATTTATGAACGGTGCATTTATGCTTGTCAAATTGATTATGATGACAAAATATTCCATAAAGCTAAAAAGGCCTGCATAGAGGTGACCCACATCTTCAAAGGGCAACTTTTCACATCATAAAATTTTGCTGCACATTGAATGTCAGGAGGAAATTTCTCACATTGGGTCTACTACTGTAATACTCAGTCAATACAATTCATAGTCAAGCTGAAGTACAGTATATCTGTGAATCAATATGGACATGATGCTTTAGCAGTTCAATATTTTTCATATTTTTAGAATTACCTTAATCTTCAGTGTTTATCCTAAAAGTCTCATTTTTGCTGCCCTTTAAAGTGTTATTCCAAGCTAAATCTTTTCAGTATCAAACACTCACACCCTTTGCCTAAAAAAAGTGGCTGTAAAAATGTTGTAGTCTGCTCCTTTAAAGAGGATGGAGTGCTAATGAAAACGTCTCAGGTAGTTTTAAAACCTATGAGCGCAAACCTGCAGCTGATCGCATTTGCATATCAGACATGGTAAATCATGCACAGCTGAAGTATGTGGACTAAAGTAATTCCTGCCTTGAGGCACCTCTGAGTACCACCCTCTGAAATGTCTACTTTTGCAAAACAAATGCTAAGTGCAAGCCCAGGTTTATTTCTGCACAAACGAAGCAACACAGCGATGAAACTAAGAAAGATATGCAGTCAACTATAAAGCTGGTAAGACAAAGAAGTCAGAAATCAAGCAGTTAAATAGTATTTATTAAAAGTAAAATATTTTTTATTTCAAAACGGTTCAAAAGCAAATTTCACAGAGGTGAAACTGTTAAACAACTGCAGTGAAATAAATAAACATGAAGATAAATACATAACTTATCATAATGTATATCAATAAAGTACAAGGCACTCCATGTTCAAATGTACTGTGAATGTTCTGAACCAGTTTTCTCTCTGTCAGTTTCTACTATTGCAACTTTGTAACACTGAGGAGTTTTGGGGAAATTTCAGCCACATTGTATTTCTAGAGAACACTAATCTCTTTCCACCACTGAATAAGCTGACTGACTGGTGTACAAAGTGGCAGAATCCACAGGTCCTATCGACAGCTTTGTTTGCTTTAGAGAAAAAATGGCAGGCTAGAACTGCAGATTCCATTCTTTTCACCAGATGTCTCTACTCTATACCAGTTTGCTCACAGCAATAAAGCCTTCCTCTTTTTTGTTCTATACATATACAAAATCAAGAAAATCATCTATAAAAAGAAAATCTAAATATCAAAATTGCAATCTTACCAAGCGTCTCCTTTCCTCTTCAACAGTGTTCAACAGCTGGGAGAACTCTTTGAATGACTGGGCTGAAATACAAAGAAAGATCATTTCTTTTTTTTTGGTAACATATATTTTTTTGCCATTTTGCTTTATTTTGACAGTACAGAGAGAGAAGACACAAAAGGGAGGGGAGAGAAAGAGAGGGGAATGACAGCAAAGGCTGCGGTAAGGACTCAACCTTGATACGTGGTTCTCGCTACTGCAAGTGAGCTACCGATTTCTACAAGAGCATTTTAAAGGTGAAATACTCTATGTTTGGTCAATAAATGCATCAGCATGTATGATACATCATGCACAATATGTTCACCAGTGAACATGTACACTGTTATCCCCTGTGTTGTTGTATTCAGATTATAAAAAAGGATATTATAACACAGTGGCTCAGTCGTTAAACATCAGATGTTTCTGGCACCCCACAAGCACTGTAGCGTGGTGCTAAAATGTTTATTTGCACTGCAGCTTCAGAGCTTTCAGTGCAGCAAATTTTAGAACCTAATAAAAGTGTGCAGCTGTCCAATTTAAGACCAAGACTAGCAGTAAAAAACAATACTTCAATTGAATGGAACCCACTGATTACTTCCCTTTATTTTCGTACCGTGCTAGGCTTTACAATACTGTCACAATGTAGGAGAGACTGATATGGTAGAGATATGTTCACACCATCTGGGCTATACTTTAGTAGCTTATATTACATTCTGCAGGGCCAGATGAATTCAGCATAAAATACATTGAATCTTATCTGCCAGAGAATTGTGCCTTGATAGCTTCACAGCTTCATTAAATAGAGCGCCAGATACAGCGTGGCCTCTGTTGGTCAGCCCCTGTGTCACCCTGTGTCCAGCCATTTAGCAGCGGTCGAGCTGCTCTGCTTGCCAACGCAGTAACATCATTATCAGCCGCGACAGCCTGGCATGGGGACCCATGCATCATCTTAGACACGTTGGTCCATTTACACACCAAAGCTTTTAAAGACCAGGGAGCAATGATTTTGTGCCAGTGATCCTGCAGGCAGGCTGGCCTCCTATTAACGCCACTAGCTCCTTTATCAAGAGCACAAACCTCTCAGGGGGTAAAGGGCACAGCTGGAGCCGTTGATGGGACAAGATTAGACTCCAAAGAAAGGAAATGGGAGTCAAAGTGAGGTTACAGCTTGCATATCATTCACTGGTAAATGGAGGAAAGGCAATAGACCTAATGAATCACTGAAGGAAATAAAATTTACTACCTCAAGAGTGGATGAATGAAGAAGATGAGCTTATGCGAAAATAAAGAGAGACATTACCACACATCAGCATTTTTTCTGCATACTATAAGAAGTTTGTATATTTCTGATCAATTTTATGGGTTTAAATGTTGCCTCTCTGCTTGATATTTAACGTTTCAGATCTAGAGATAGACCTCACGTGACTTGTCCCACCCCAGAAGGCTCTGAACAGCTCTTGGAGACTAAAGGATTGACCTTCTGAGAGAAGGGCATGTAACTTTTCTAAAAATTTAAATTTCTATAGCCACATCAATCTTTTGGCCCCATTGATTCCAGAATAACTGGCGTGGAATGTGAATGTCACTGCGGGAAGTCATAGAGTGAAATCAATAAAAGGTCAGGTGAACCCGTCTGGCAGCACATACAGGATCCCGGTGTTATGTGTGGAAGTTGGGAGCATCAAAGTGAACTATACCAATATTGCATCAAGATTGTGGATGGCATTCACGCAAGGGTCTAGCTATGTCAGTCAGAAAGCTCAGTTTCATTGATGACTAGATTGATTTCAACAGGCTGTTTCATTTTTTCTCAAATTGTAATCATAGCCTCTTCTCTTCCGAGATGGTGAGTGAACACAGTAGCTTAGAGTATGAGGAGATCAGTTCTCTTTAGGAAGATATCAAAGCCTTAAACTTGCAAAATAACACACTTCGATGTGGCTCGATTAATGGTGAAGAATGTATGTGTTGGGGATGCAAAATCTTCTTGGTGTTAAGTTATTTATATTATTTTCAATTTCATTATGTTGTTTGTGCCAGTGTTGCATCCACAGTGGTCTTGATTAAATGCCTCCCAAGTGCATAGATTTACCATTGTCTGTAATACACAGTCAATAAAATGCTTCCAAACAGCTCTGTCATCTGAGCCACAGGCACGGCCAAACCACTGGCTTCTATGGTGCCAGTGATTTGCACTGTAAATACACAGCAGGTCCAGCAACATAACAGGTGGGAAGCTAAAATATCCACTGCTCAATCTGAGAGCGACACCGGTCTTGATTGAAGGCCAGGGAAAGGGTGCATTGCCTCAAATTAAAGCATGCTTGATTCTAATGAGGCTTGGATTTGGGTGTGGACTTTTCCAATAAGCATAATTGGTCTCCTGCACCCCTGCCTATCATACAGACGCCACAGCTTTGAGAGAAAAAAGGGAAGAATGCCTATTCATTACGCATTCAGATGAACATTACAGCCTCATGTAGAGGAGGTCGATATCCAGTCTAGCCCTCACAGATGGACAGTAATTCAGCAGTCTCCAGCTCCACGGAGCGAAGGACTCAAGCTGGGGATAATGAGCAGTGAAAAAAAAGAAGAGGAAGAAGAGGCCAGACTGGGAGTCCTGCCCATTAGAGCCAGAGAGGCCCACTGCACAGCTGCTTTCATATTCCTGTTGGAGGCAAGGAGGTTCGCACCTCCATTAATCTCTGACACTGATCACAATTAGTCCCTTTGATCTCTTATAGGCTTGAAACGATACAGGGGAAGCATCATAAGCAAATCAATAGCATTAATTATACATGCATCACAGACAGCTTTAAGATCTATACTAAAAGCCAAATCCCATTCCAAGAATTTGCAGAGTATGCTTAATTTTGTCTGAAAACAGTTCCCAGTGACTCTGATGAAGCTTTCTCCTCTTCCTACTACTTTCACTGATGTAAAATTGCTCAAATATAATAATATCATATGTTGAGCACTTGGTCCTCAGCCAGAGGACAGCTCTTATGATATGTGTAAGCACTGCAGCCAATTCTGTTCAAGTGTCTCCCCAGAGAATCCTTACTGAAATGTCAGAAAAGGTTCGGACTGAGGTTACAATCTAAGTAATTGGTTAGAGCAGAGAGGAAAGAAGATTAAAGACTGCAAAGAGAGAGATGTGCGCTCCTGGGCCTGGCCAAACTAAACTTACCAATGTTCACCTCGTCATCTGTCTCTGCATCACCTATGCACTCAAACTGGAACTCCTGCAGGGACTGGGAGAACTTCTGGACGGCAGCAGAAAGATCTGGAAAATCAGAAGGTCTAAGCATCAGAACAAAGCATTGCACAAATGCTTCAGACATTCAAGACACATGGATCACATTCTACATATGCACAATAGAGTGCAAACCTAATGTAACCTCCTTGCACATACAGAATACCCATGAACTACTTATTAGAAGTTACATGGAGACTGGTTTACTTAATGCCTCTGAAGTCATATGTTTATATCAGTGTGTCAAGGTAGCCTTACCATCACTTTGATTATTGACAAGTTGGCAGCATAATGTATAGAAAGAGAAAGCAAAAAATTCAAACTCAATAATATGTCATAGTTCATCATATTCACCAGTATACATACATGTAGATTTAATTTCTCCCTTTGTGGATAAAGTGGTACTTTTAATATATATATATAGTTCAATTCAATTTTATTTGTATAGCGCCAATTCATAACAGAAGTTACCTCAGGACACTTTTCAAATAGAGCAGGTCTAGACCGAACTCTTTATAACATTATTTACAGAGACCCAACAGTACCACCATGAGCAAGCTCTTGGCGACGGGGGCAAGGAAAAACTGCCTGTTAAGAGGCAGAAACCTAGGACAGATCCTTCGGCTCTAGGTGGGTGGTCTTTTGCCTCGACCAGTTGGGGTACAGCAAAAACAGTAGCAACAACTACACTAATAGTAGTGACTGATGATGATGAACATAAAGACGACGACGACGACGACAACAGCAACAATGGTGGACAACGAGCAGCGGCAACAGCAGTGTTAAGTTTGCTATTTGTTATAGTGATAACAACAGCAACAAAATAGTGGAACCTAAGAAGACTATTACTTGACAACTTCTGGGAGCAAAAGAGCAAAATAATGCACTTTTATGATCTGCTGACTGTCCAATTCTATGCCCACTGACATTCATACAATAGCAGTTCTGTGAGTGACTGCAATATCTGCTATATTTACTTTATCACTTGTCCATTGATCATAATACTGAGATCTGTCCAGAAATATTAAGCCCAGCTGAGCTGCCTAACCTTTGTGTCAAACATGATATAGTACAAGTTAAAATTCTTAGAAAAATTCCACCTTTGGATCCTCTCACACGGTTAGATAAAAATTTATGATGTTTATTGAATTCCAGCAGTTCAGTTGGGATAAAATGCTGTCCTCATTTTTTCAGAGTGACATTTGACAACCTCCAGAGAATTGGTGTTAGTCTTTTGTGTTCCAACTTTCCAGTCGAGAAAAAAGTGAGTCCTGCCTCTTATACAAACATTCACCTCTGATGTCACTGGAAAAATTGGTGCCTTTACAGTCTCTATTTTTCCGATTGTAAATTTGCATTTGACAATTAACTTCCAATGACTTTAAATAACACTAGATCCCTAACAATGCCACAGGACTATGCTATAACAGTGTGTTACATACTATATTTCATCTTTGCTTGGGGGAAATTATGTTTGTCTATGTTTTTTTTTGTTTGGCATGTTAGAATGGCTCTAAATACTACAGGACCCATGAGCCTTTGCAGTCATTGCTAAAGGTTGAAATCAATCCAGACATATTCACAAAGCTTCAATGTAGCAATCAGGAACAAATCGCTGCACCGTAGCAGCTGAATTGATTAATCGATCCAAATATGATCCAAAATCAGAAAGACAAATCTGAACAGATTTAAGCTGTTAAATGTTATTTAACAATTTCTACAACTTGTGTTTTCATCCTGCTGTTAGATCCCTGGGAGCCGCTTGACTTCTATAGTAAAGTATATGTATATGGTCTTTTACCTTTGACTTACTAGCAGTGAACCAGAATTGGCAAAGAGCAATTGCTCATCATTTGTAGTGATGAGTCAACCGTACTGATGAGTCAGCCGGAGTGTTACATGTCCATTCAAGAATTAGACTGCTTTAACAGTCTCTCACCTACACTGTGTATGTGGGGAAAAAAAGACTAGATTTTTATTCCCTGAACCCTGCCCGCTCAAAATAAACCTTCCCACTTCACTTCTCTATTATCCACAGAATAAATAAAAACAACAAACAGCAAAATTGGCCCATAAGTGTATGTCATGTTGAGGCAGCTCAACGTGACCTGCACTTCCCAGCTTTTACCTTTTCTCTCAGCTTAAAAACCATAGCTATTGGGATAAAAAATGTATGTTGTGTTAGTATTCCATTTTTAGTTGATTAATGTGCTTTTATTATTTATATAGTTGAGTTGTAATGCTAATTTTCTCAGTGTGAACAAAAGTTTATGTGGTGTATCAAATGCTTAAAGACGGGCTCAAACCAATTAGGCAACATCAAGGCTGCTCAACAACTGCTTTTTAGAGTTTAGTAAATTTTTTCCTCTCTGAAATAACAGCATGTATAAGCTCAACAAAAATCTCTCTAGAGTCTCTCTCTATTTTTTAAATTATTGAACCCATTACGATAATGGCATGGATTTTGAGTTATCATGTGGAAAGGAGTTTTAACAACTATAAGATAAGACAAAAATAAACACTACTCAATTAGAGTAAAAGAAAATCTGGGTGGTATCTATCCAGACCCATTACAGATACAGTATATGTATCCAATTATCAGCATGCAAGAAATCAGGCACGGACGGTCTGATTTCAGTCAGATTCACAAGAAAATCGAACATGTTGGGAGGAAAAGCAATTAAGCTGCTTTTTAACGCAAAGGGGAAAGTAACTGCAGTGCTGACCTGTGAATAGCTGACCAAGAGCATGAATCACTTGTAATTTTATTTTAATTTTATCATGCAACTGATTTCAATTTGTTTCATACCTCAGTTACATAAAGGTTGGTGTGTGGGTCCACTGTATTAGCACTGTGGGTATATTCTTGCTGAGGTGAACGTAACCTATGTTTACCAGTACTTTAAAGAGTGGGATGAGGCTTTAGCACGTAATGGAGGCTTTTAACATTTCATAATTCAGTTGAGTTTATAATTAAAAGCAAAACAAGACAGATTCTAAAATACTCTGACATTTTAGTTGTCAGCCCACACAGTTTGAAATGTACACATTTTCTTATATCCATTGTTGACAATGACTCACTAATTGCCTCTCTCCTTCTTTCTTCTCTCACCAGCACTCATGTATTTACTTCAAAGAACTGTGACCTTAACAGACTCTTGAGTGGAAGTAAGAAATTGCACAAGCTACAGACTCAAACTTGTGTGTTAATGTGATAGAAGAATATGAAGGCTATTGAGGTTGAGGTTGTTATAAACTGTACTACTTCTACTAGTACTAGTCTGAAGGAAAAAACTGGAGTAACTGTTCTGCTTTTTTTTTTGCAGATTATTCCTGTACATATTGTATGCATATGTAGACTTTTTCATATATTTTTCATACTTTACATGCTTCCTATTTTGGCATTACTCATTAAGAAGGACCCCTTACATACCTATAATTACTACAGGAACAACATAATGAAAAGTATAAAATGAGACATGCTGTCAAAATAAATGAATAAAAGAAGCTATGATTGAAGTTTTTTAATTGATCACTTTTTTTTAGCAACTATAATAATAATAACTGAATGTTGAAAACTGAAAATTATGAAATGACTTGCTTTCAAAATTTCCTTTATTAAGTTTAAGTTTAACAGAACCTTTCTGTTTAATATAATGTCTGACAGTTCATAATGGATATAGTGATGAAACCTATACAGCTCCTACTGTGACAACAATAGTTTATCTAACAGGCATCACAAAGTATAAACTGGCCTTAAAAGCACCCAAAAATCAATGCTCTCATCTTCACAGGGGCATAAATTGCTTGGAAGAGTCATGTGATATTTGTCAGTGAGTGTCTTTTTCTTTACATAACAGCAAGCATTGTTACTATGTATTTCAGTGTATTTTAGTAATCTGTAGGCACAGAATAACAACACTTTTGCTCAATGAGACCACAGATTGAAATGCTCTCAAAGACATCTACACCATAGGGAATGAGAATGTCTGACCACTAAATGTTGCTGAGGCTGCCTGAGTGAAACTTTTCCACCAGATGTATTGTGCCAGTGATGTGGTCCTGCTTTGACTCTAAAGCCGCTGATTTGAGATCAATACCGAGCTGCAGTTGTCTGGATGTGCTCACAGGACCATCAATAACAGGATGATCTTTTAGCTCAGACATACAGACAGGCACCAACCTCACAAAAACAAACCTACGAATGTTGCCACCAACTCAATGCACTTTCCCTATAGCCACCAAAAACCAAGGAATATAACATAAAAACGATAACAAAATCAGCCTCAGCATCTGATATTTGCTTGCTTTGTAATAATCTTTAACAGTAACAGCATTCAATATAATGTCTGGTTACTCAGTATCAACTCAAATCCCAAACTGTCAATTACCAAAAGTACATATGTATTATTTATTCAGAAAGTTACTGATTGAAAATTTTTTTTGCCTCTTAACTATACATATAAAAAATACTGTATACATAATTTTTCATATTTCTGGTAATGTTCCAAAGAAGTATAATTCTGGTGTTGGTGATCTAGCTCAGCTTCAAGGTGGCACATAAAACTAAAGTTACATGGCATCAAATACTTTACTTGGTGGTAAATCCCGAGTACCTCATCATTAGCATTTTCACAGCTACAGCTCTCATAACAGCACTTCTTCACCAAGGGCCCATGGGAGATGTGGTTGAAACGGGTGCTGGACCTGTCCATTCAGGAGGCTACACACTTACTTATTTTTGCATCTCCACTCTAAATTAACAAACCTTAATAGTCTAAGTACAATGTGTAATTTAAGTTACAGCAGCAGAGCTTAGGGAAACAGGCTGCCTACATGATGAGGCTCACTACACCTGTCGCGGCTATACCTCAGCGTAAACATATGCATTAATAAATGTTTACCATATTTTAACTAGTGGAATACTCAAGAAAGACCTGTCACAACAATTTTGTGTTTAAGTTCTATTTATATGCATTATTTACTATGTTTGGGAATCACCACACATGATTTTGGCCCTCTTCTCATTA